GACACTGGGCGGCAGATGGAATTCGGAGGAGGCCTAGTCTGTGGGATCTAATTGGTCTAGTGGAGGTAATTGTAGTCAAATGAGAATTCTGGTACATTGATAGTAAGATATATAAAGATTTTTGACTTAAAGTGTATAATCTAATATGAACTATAAGTAATGACTGTGGAAGAAATGCACGAAAGTTATCTGTAACCAATCGACACGCTTTCTACAAGATGTAATAAAGGATGATTCTTTTTTGTGTTTTTGTTCAATTAAAATAAAAAATTTTTTTTTACAAAAAAATAAAATAAAATTAACTTTGACAAGATGATCCTAAATTGGCTACCCTTTAAAAGTGTAATTCTACATTTGCACATTTATTACTGTAATAGATGGCTTTTGAGTATGAGTTGAAAATTGCACTCCTAAATACCCTGTGGATGTTATAGAAATAAAACGAAGAAACTGCATTTGGCCCAGTGTCTGAATAAGAAGTTATCCAAAGCTGGAAAGAAAACCATCTGTATAAAAGAAACAAGTTATTTCAATAGATTTAATTACTCTGCCACTGTATTTTAAAAATGTCTGTATGTATTGCTTTATGCCTTCTCATATTTTGAATGTTTAATTGCTTGATTTATACTTTATATTTCATTTGTTCTCTACATTTAATGCTTGATTTATTCTCTACATTTAATTAATCATCTACGTTTAAAAGGCAGGCATTTAAAGAGGCATTTGACAATTTAATACAAAGTGGCATAGAATAAATCTAGAAACATTGACTTTATTCTGCAATAAACAATCTTTTTTACTATAACCATCCAAAATCAATAATTTATTTGTCAAATCAAAACACCATAGTTATTTATGTTCCTGTTCTATAATTTTATATATTGTATTTCATTAACTTCAGTGATGATCTTCAGAAACCTCAAATGATAAGTTAACATTTTTGATAATATGTACAGTTTATGTATATATCACAAAAATTATTAGTATGTCCAGATTCTCTGGTTGTCTAAATTGCACTCTAAATGTTTTATCTATTTATCACTTTGTTCTACTTCATTTCTTTTTTTCTTTCTGCAAATAGGTAACTCCAGTACAAATTGTAACAAAGTCTTTCTTTGTTTTTCCAGCATACAATGAATTAGTAACATATAATAGTTTTTACAATTTTTCAACAGGCAAAACCGTTCAAGAAATAAGTCTTTGATGACAGCTAAATGGTCAAATCTTGGGTGAGAACCAAAAAGTGTGTGTGGGGGGGGGGGAACCACCCAGAAAGAAGGCAGGAACACAAATGTCCATGTTGTCATTTGGATTAAGTCTATGAAGTAATCAGGAAACAAGCTGACTTGAAGGAATAAATGTATCTTAAAAGTTATACAAAGTTGTAGCTCTGATCAAATTTCTGTTACAACAATTATAATTATTTGAATTTTTAGATAAATCCAATAAAAACCCTATTATTTGCACTAAAGGAAACATTCTACTCAAACTGAGATTAGAGTCATTAAACACCGTATTAAATTATTTGAGAATGAAGATGTAAATTGCAATCTAAAGTTCATAAAAGTGTATTTACATGAGAATTAATCACCTTTTCTTAAATGCAGTAGATGATTATATATCTGGGATCAATTACTCTTTTAAAGTTAAAGTAATTCTGTAGTTCATTTTATGTATTATTATTATTAGCCCATAAGTCTCTTGTGGCATGAGAAGCTCTTTTTTTGAATATAATTTAGTAGATAGATGTTTTTTAACTATGAGAAATTTTAAAATGGGAGTAAACGAGAGAAATATACATACAAAACAAGCAATTTTTTATATTTTTCCATATTTCATTACTAATTTTAAACAAATGAATATATTTCATCATTTTAAAAATCCTGAAAATCACTAGTTGCAGTCCTTGACTCATGACTGATTTCTTAACAACTGTTCAAAATTATGACAGACCCAGAATAAGTGATTTATGATCTGTAAAGCACTTCTGATTGTCATAAAATATTGTGCCACTCTATCTCATGGTCACATGGCCATATTTTGGGAACTTGACAACCAGCTGCTCTTTACAACCAATTACAGTGGTTAAAGCATTCTGTGGTCACATGACTGTAGTTTGTAAACCCCCCCCCCCCAAAAAAATGCCCATTTAGATGAATTGGTTTACAGTTATGACTGCAGTGTTCACTTAACCACTATTGATTCACTAAATCAGCAGTCCCCAACCTTTGAGGCTTGGCCCTGTGAGGCGACAGGGGAACCAGGCCATGTGAATGGCAGGCCATTGCACATGTGTGCATACACAGCTCAACTTGCACAAGCAGCACACAATTCAACTTGTGCAAGTTTAACTGCACACACAATGGCCTGCTTCTTGTACATATTGAGCTGTGCACGCATATTCAGGCAGCCCTATTGTGAATAGGTCACAGCCCCGTATTGGGCTGTCGCCAAGTGGACTTCTGCACTAAATGACTACCAAAAGAATATCATCAAATAAGGTCTGGTCACATGGGTGCCTTGATTTATAACCATTACAATTTACAATAATAAATCCAATTGTAATCCTAAATTAAGGACGACCATAAACAGGATACAAAATCAGAAACAGCAGTCATAGCAACAGTACAAGTCATATAATAAAATTGTGGACTACAATAAATTCTGCCCATACTACTAGAAGTCTATTCTCATTTTAACAAACTTTTAAAAAATCATTTAAAAATGAAAAAAAATACATTGCTGGAAGTTCTTTCTTCCATTCTTTTAACTGGATTGTGCTTGAATTTCTAATTATAAAGACATTATTTTGTTACTTAACCTTTAGGATTTCTTATTCAGAAAAAGACAACATTCAACTAAGGGTATCCTCCCCAGTCAAGGAAAAAGATAAAGGTAACATTAATTTTTTGTACTCATTTAACATTATTTGCCACTAAATTAAATCCATTCAGAAACCAAAATATATATCCAACTGGACTGTTTTGTATAGAAAATATTTCATATGTTTCAGCTCACTATAAAAACCCTTTGATATTTTTTCTATGAAGTGGAAGTCAATGTACTAGGTAGTTCATATGTTGAATGAATACATATGTGTTTTTACATAGCTGGATTTATTGTGATTCTCCTGTGGCTACTTAATTTCATGAGCCAGTTGTTACATCTTTCCCTGCTAAAGGCATTGATCATTATAAGATTTGCTTTGATCATTAATGTAGCTATTAACAGAAATATTTTAGTTATCAGGAATCTATCAACCCTACTCTACCTTTTATAGAAGGAAGAAGAAGATAGACAAAAATAAAGATAATTTCTTGAAAACAAATGGTATTTATGAAAGGCTATACATTAGCACTGATATAGTTTTATTCAGATTTTTGGACATTCCCTGACATTTTTCTCAAATGCAGATAGATGCAGTGGATGAATGACAAGCCATCCTAACTTGTGTTTCTATAATTTCTAGAACTACACATTTTAAAGCTGGCTAAAGAAATGCATTGCAGTCATGGTAAGAGAGAATCTGAATCTCACTATTATTATCATTATTTAAGATTTAATCTAACCAAGGACCTAAGAACTGTTAAGGTAATGCCTGAGTTGCTGTTGTTGTTATTTCTAGTTAAAGCGTTACTACATATAACCTCAAAACAGCTCATTATGAGGCTATTCATGTTGAGAAACATTTTTAAAATCTGGGAGGGAAGACCATTAAATCTTGTGTTGGTTATTTTGCCGTATCTGGCTAATAGAACGAATGGTGTATTAATTGAATGCAACAGTATTAGAAACATTGAGCTGAACCACTGATTTAATGTACTTAAGCATTTTTAATGGTTCCCTTTCCCTCCCTATAAAACAGATAAAGATACACTACCTCATATCAGGCAGATCATCACTAGCCCGCATTTGGACTTAAATCCTAATTTTGACCCCAAAATCAAAGAATACTACACTGAGGTGCCTTTTGATCTTTTGACGATCAAGATTAGAGCAGAACCCATGAATTGTCAAGGCGAAGCTCACTTGGATGAGAGACAAGGACCAAGGTAATTGGAATGGCGGGTGATGCTCTTGGGATGTACAATACAAATCCTTAAATTCTACTTACCAGAAAAATTGCAACATGTTTATCCTTAAAAGTGCCACTATTAAGTATTATTGGGATCCCCAAGCTTTGGAAGGGCAGTTTTCCCATAGCAATGCTGATTATGACAGCATACAAAATTTCTACAAGAACCTATTGATATATAGTTCCCTTTTAAGATGCTGTCTTGCCGTTTCTTCATAGCTTTGGATGTAACACAAATGTGCATGCATGACCATTCATAAGAGAAAGAGAAATGGCCCAATTTTGGCAAATTTACAGAACTATTTGCATCCCCATGCATAAGTAAACTCTGTGCAGGCAGTTTTGTATTTCTAGCCATGAAATGAGCAGAAACCAGATTCCTGTGTTTGAATACGAATCCTAACATTTGTAGTGTCTGCGTGACTTGTTTTATCATATATAGATTAAACTTGTGCAAAGCTTCCATGAAGGTGCATGCAAAAGTAGTCTTTTGACATTGCTTCACAAGCAGCACAACCCCCTACGAAAGCACAGCAATTGTACTGTGTCACTTCTTCCTTCCAAGGCCTCATCCAAGAAATCCATTTAATGGGAGAGGCTTCTAAACTTGTGCCTGCTTTCTACAGAATAGATATAACACTTACTTCTGCTTTCCCCCACCATTAGGACAGCTACGAGGTTTCTAATAGGACAGATAACTGATGGAAATTGAAGTCCAACTGATCCTAATCCCAGCAAAGTAGCTTTTATCTACCATAGTTAAAGAAAGTGGTACAACATTCAAACTTTATGAGCACACTGGATCAATAAGGAAGGAGAAGGTTCATAATTTTATTCAGCTACAAGTAGCCCTCAAGTTATGACCACAATCAGCCCAAAATTTATGTTGTTAAGTGAAACATTTGTTATTTTGTTAAGTGAATAATGTTTGCTAAGTGAATTTTGCCCCATTTTATGACCTTTCCTGCCACCATTGTTAAGTGAATCACTGCAGTTGTTAAGTTAGTAACATGGTTGTTATGTGAATCTGCCTTTCCCGTTGACTTTGCCTGTCAGAAGGTCACAAAAGGTGATCACACAACCCCAGAACATTGCAACCGTCATAAATATGAACCAGTTGTCAAGCGTCTGAATTCTGATCACATGACAATAGGCATGTTGCAATGGTCATAAGTGTGAAAAATGGTCATAAGTCATTTTTTCAGTGCTAATGTAATTTTGAATGGTCACTAGGTGAACTGCTGTAAGTCAACAACTACCTGTATTTTGTCTGAATAGATAGTTGAATATGATTAAGAGGGACAGAGCCATGTTAGCTCTGTCTAAAAAAAATTCTTTAGTTTCTCCATGCTCAGCAAGGAAGTCTGCAATTGAGAACCTGATTAAGCCCAGATTCCAAATGTTTAGAAGTTTCTACTCAACTAGATGCAAGTAAAAGAACTATGTAGATACCACAACTCTATAATAGAACAATATAACAGCTATCTAAGAGTCCGAGAATGGTTCTGATATGCGTTTCTCTTCCTGCAGTTCATATGCCTTGCTTTTCCTGATAACACATTGAGCTTGGCATAGTATTTATGCATTAAGACAATTTGGAAATCTTAGAACAGCAGCACCACAGAAAGATAATACTGTGTACCATCACAAATAATTTATTTCCTCCTTTACAGCTGTAAAAATACTTTTTGAATATTTTAGTGTATGATAAAATGTACAGATTACTTATTTCATTAATGTTCTATCCCCCCCTCCCCCGCATTTTCCTTCTATTCTAACAGCTCTGCACATTACCCACTTGGGTTAGGTATAAACATAGTAATTATTGTGGTAACAGACAAGTCTCAATCAGTCAATGAGATTGTGAGCATCTACAAAATCATCATTTTCCGTGAAGACCGTCCAAGCTTGCCATTATTTGATGATTTCATGCTGTGTGGTTTTATACAGGTACTTTCTAAATACAGTTAGCAAACAAATGTTTTATCCATGCACCATGTAATTTACTTATCAATGGTGAAGGAAATCAATAGTTTTGTGGGGTTTAATACCTCTTGTATTGTGTTCTTACTTGCTTCTGTTATTTTAGTCAGTCCAGATTTTCTACTCTTGCAAGATCTTGTGGAGGTGACCGTTTTCTACAAAGGTTCATGGATTCCTAATAGAGTACATGCTTTGCAATTAGAATGTCCTTGATTCACATCATAGACTCTGACAAGTACAGGTGAAAATCCAGGAAGTCAATACAAAACTAGGTATACCAATAGTTTAATCATCTAATTTAATCCACTACCAAATTACAAAAATGTGTTTTTACGGCAGAACAGTAAAAGCCATTTTAAGGCCCAACAGGCTGGCTGTCTTAACAGAGCACACACACCGAGGGGTGTCAGAGATGTCTTACCCCAATAGTATTTGTTTCCAGAAAGTAACTCATCTCTGTACCAAGTTTGGTTGAAATTGCTCGAGACATTCCAGAATTATGCTGGAACATACACGCACAGCCGTTTTTATATATATAGATAGGAGTCTGCAAAAGCAGTCTGTGTTTTCTTTTTTAAAAATCTTCATAGACCGACTTTTAATGGTGACAGTATTTTTTTTTCTTTGTCCTAAAGTACATTTCTACTGCTGGCTGAATTTGCCTATGCCAGAGATCAGAGACTTCCATGGTTTCTTTTCTTTTCTTTTTAGTAACTAGACACCTGTTCTAGGAGCCAAAGGAGCAAACAGCCTGAGATCTTCTTTAGACACTTGATTAGGCACAACTGGACTTGTGCATTGGAGAGAGAAAAGGTCAAAGACAGTGGTGTGGTCTTTCTCACAGTGGGGTTTCAGTTGAAAGTCCAATCCTGGGACTCTTTTCTTTCATGTCTAATCCTGTTAAGCTAATCAAGTTTCAGTGCAAACTGATATCATGATGAAGGATACAATACAAAGAAAAAAACTGAGTAGTTTCCAGACTGCCAATAATTCTCATGTGTTTGAGTAACCCTGGATTAAGTTCAAGGCTACTCAGAAAAGTAGTATACGGTTCCAAAGCTGTGCAACTCCTAAAAGTACAAAACAATTGTTATTTCAATTTTTCTCTAATAGTATCATTAACAGCAAGGATAAAAGTTTGAGCCATGATGGCATCTTCAGCAGCTGAAAGTTCCATTGTTTGTATTACAGCCTAAAATAAGAATATTTTTTCTGGTAACAACGAGGTTATGGATTTATGTTTGACTGATATTAGTTTGATTGTATTTAAAATGCACCTTCTAGCCCCATGATGGCATGCCACAGGCATGCAGAGTCCTCTCTGTGGGAACGTGAGATGTCACCCCAGGTCAGCTCCACCACACATGCGCATGTGCCTCCCACCACCCAGCTGGTTTTTTGCTCTCTGCAACACATGTGTGGTGGGTGGGGCGCATGTGGGAGATGTGTGTGCATTCGTGCAGGGGAGTGGGGGGGCACATGCACATGTGAGGGGGTCAGGGAGCATAAGGGGTGCACTTACATGTGTGTGGGTGGGGCACACACGGGAGGTTGTGCGTGCATGCGTGGGGCATGGGTGGGTGGGGGGTTCGCACATGCATTGCATTATGAGGTCACACGTGCTTTCGGCATGCAGCTATGAAAAGGTTAGCCATCACAGTTCTAGCCTAATAAGAAAGAAAAGATATAATTATAACTTAAGTTCAATGTCTATAGAATTAAATAACATAAAAAGCAGTTCTAGAATTAACAAATTTAATAAGACTTGTCAATTCAGATCCCTTCACTATGAGAAAAATGAAATTATTTTCAACAAATTGCCCTAGAATAACTAACGCTTATCCTGAATTATGTGATACTTAACAAATAAAATTACCCAATAATGAATTTCATTCATAAAATGAAATGAATTAAAAAAAAACATTTTTTTCTGTAGCAGACAATCAAAATGGAACCTAGATCAAATAAAATTTGAAACCCAAGATACTTTACCACAACTTGAAAAGTCATATGTCACTATATAGAATTTATATATAAAGTGGAGAAATACACATTAGGAAAATGTATTAAAGATGTTGATTATCAGCAACATAATTCCATTTCTAGAAAATACATAGCTTTATAACAGTAGTGGAGTGAAACTAATCAAGGAGAGAAGCAACTTAGAACTAAGGAGAAATTTTCTGACAGAACAATTAATCAGTGGAACAGCATTTGCCTCCAGAAGTTGTGAATGCCCCAACTCTGGAAGTCTTTAAGAAGATGTTGGATATCCATTTCTCTGAAGAGGTGTAGGGTTTCTTGCCTAGGCAGGGGGTTGGACTAGAAGACCTCCAAGGTCCCTTCCAACTCTGTTATACTGTTCTGTTCAATGTTTAATTGATTATTTGAAGAAGAAAAGTAATTCGTTGAAGATTTTCACTCCTTCCACATCATCATAATTTGTTTTTCTATTCTGCCTTTGAAATTGAGAAATTTCTTTTTTGGAGCTCAGATTGGAAATAAGGATAGTGCAATGAGACCATACAAAGCAAAAAGGATGATTGGCTCAGCCCATTATATATTGAAGCATCAGGATTTCACAAATAGTGGTACTGATCATATTACAAACAGGTCTGTTAAAGCCTTGATCTAGGCAGCCTGAGCCTGTTTGGGTGACAGTTTATATGACAGAACTAAGATGAAGGATGAAACTTTTCCATCTAAAAATACATGGCAACAGTCACTCACATCCTTATTACCTCTAGGCTGGATTATTAAAATGCACTTTGCATGGGGCTGCTTTGGAAGACTACCAGAAGTTGCACTGGTACAAAATGCCCCCTTCCCTTCACTGATATATAAGAAGTGCTGGGATGCTAAAACACCATGCTATTTCTCAGAAGGTTTCTAAGTTCAGTGTCCTTGTCATCAGTTATAAAGCCCTGCAGGCATAACACCTAGATAGAGTCAGAATTAGAACAGCTGGAAGGCACCTTGGAGGTCTAGTCCAGCCCCCTGTTCAAGTAGGAGACCCTATAACATTTCAGATACTTTCAGGACTGCAACTTCAAATGCAACTGCTCTGTCCAGTAAAGATAAAAGTAAAGGTTTTTTGCCGCCCGTATCGCCACTAAATAAGTCCTAATAAAGGGTCTTAGTTGTGTTCAGTTGGATTCGGAGTTACTAGCCCTCCAACGTCGCTCTAGGCGTCTCTTTTGGTGCTTCATCTCCCAGAGTTCCTCGGTGAACCAAGGGGTCCTCCTGGATCCATTGCTGCGGAGAGGCTGCAAAGGCGCGATCCGGTCCAGAGCCTCAGCCTCCATGTATTCCAAGCAGCGACCAAGGACTCTGCCGGATTGTGGGCAAGGGAGTCAGGTATCTCTCCAAGCGCCGTCTGAAATCCCAAAGGGTCCATCAGGCGCCTGGGGCAGAACCACCTAATCGGTTCCCCCTCCCTGCAGTGGGGGAGTAGTTTCCGAAAATCAAGCCTCAGTAGGAAGTGATATGACCATGACAAGGGAGAGATCTCAATGCCCTTCAATTCCAGATCACGTCTCCACTGTCCTGAGAGAAACATGAGGTCGATCGTGTGACCCGCTGTATGAGTCAGACCCTGAATTACCTGGGTCAAGTCCATGGTTGTCATGGAAGCCATGAAATCCTGT